TGCTTTTTGTTTTTAAAAGTTCAATGTTCAATATATTCTGATCTGTCTTTTGCAGATATTAATTATGATAATTAAAAACGATTAGTATAAAGGATGGACCTGAAAGACTGATTTAGGATTTATATAAATGTGATGTCTTCAATTTATATATATTTGGCAAACCTCTCGTTACGTTTATTACTTTATACACACACATACATACACACACACACGCCCGCACATACATTTCATTAATATATTATTTATAAAATCACACACGCGCACGCACGCACGCACGCACGCACGCACGCACGCACGCACGCACGCACGCACGCACACACACACACGCCCACACGCCATTTTAATTTTTAAACGGTTTTATTTAGCTTGCTCCCTTAATATAGGTATCAAGTGATAGGGCTTCACTATATATATACTAGCAGAACCTGTGGCTTCGCTCGCCCTAAAACTACAAAAATAATCTCTTAATAGGTAGTTTCATACAAACTTTCATCCCCTATTTTACCCCCTTATATGATGAATTTTGAAAAATGTTAAAACACATATTTGTTTAATTTTATTGAAGAGCATTAATACCAAGTTTCAAGTAATTCTGACCACATTTTTTTTTTGGATTGTATTATAACGTGTTTTCCCGTGGTCTCCATACAGCAATTCACGCCACTGTCACTCCGTTTCGAAGTGAAAGAAGGACAAAGAAACAAACACACTCACATTTCTTGCGAAAATAATAAATACATTTAACTCTTTATAGAATTTCAACTCAGAAAAGGGGTGACGCATGATATGGATATTTTTCCGATATTTATAATTGACCTTTTGTATACGAGTGAAAATAAACATAGTGCCTACAATGTAAAGGTTATTACAATATTATTGAACTTTGTACGATGATTTTTTATTCTCAATCTACTTGTAGCGTCCACGAGGATGGTACAGGTTACGTTATATCGTCGACGCTAGCGCTGCAATTATTGTCGATGCTATGATCAAGTTAATGAGTACACTCTGAAGCATATACTGATCTGGTTAGTTAATGGTTATATTTCTTTCTATCTTAGACTTTACTAAAGTGCATAATCGACTAAAAATACTACTTCTTTACTTTTATAAGCACTCGATTAATTAATTAAATGCACACATCGCACATACTCGTAGTCTACTCAATTAAATCGCTTAGCACAGTAATTATGAGTGTTAAGAGTTACCGGAGCTGCGGGCGTCCTTCTGGACCAGAACAGTCGGTTGACTTAAGTTTCCATTTTATTTAACTTCATCTGTGATGAACGGAACTCTATGTATTATTTCTAACATATTTACTCGTTGCTATGGAATTATAAATAAATAAATATGTTGTGACATTAATACACAGCACCATCTACTTCCATGGTAAGCTACGAGGCTTGTGTTATGGATACCAGATATTTGATACACTACAGTACAAAAATTCGTGTTCATTACACAAATGAATGCCCCCAGCGGCACTCAAACCCGTGACTGCTGGCACGGCAAGTATGGTCACTACAAACTGAGCCAAATGTGTTGTTTATGTCGTTTATAATGTATAACACTTTCCTAGATTTACGCAAATATTTGACTTTTAAATAAAACTATATTTTCGGATTTTCCTTGGATTTATTTGAGTTTTGTCTCCCGACGTTTCGAATGCTTTACAGCAATCTTTCCCGTGACGATGATTGGTGTAAAGCATTCAAAACGTCGGGAAACAAAAACCAAAATAAGCGGCGAAAAAATCCAAAATCATAGTTGTATTCCAATTATTTATGTTTATTATGTGTTTAGTAAATACGCATCGGTCCCAAGTAATCTAATATGTAAAGTAAGAACTTAGTCTACTTCGATCAGTAAATAAGAAAGCGATAATAGAAGTATGTGGTTTTTACAGAAGCACGCGAAACAATTAATCTCAATAAAATCGATGCAGTCTAATAAATTTAGCTTGTATATTCTAACGTATATAAATAACGTATGAGTACAGCTAACTAGTCTCGTTTTATTTTGAACATTATTTCAAACCCACTCCGCAAAATATAATAAGTAGAAATCCTACACAGTCCTAGCTGAGATCTAGTTTCATTGTAAAACGATACCGAAAACCTAGAGGAATCAAATTACTTTCATTTATGCTTAGACTCGTTAGTGTATTCGCTCAGAGACCACAGTAAGATGGTTCATAGAGCACTCAGACTAGTCACTTTAAGGGAAAAACAATGCAATATGTATATTAGTTTACAGGTAACCTTTAATTTTAGCTCTTTATAGTTTAACTTTGTTTTGATTAAACTGCCATTTCATTTATTACAATAAATCTGGTATATATCTATTTTTACAAATTGGGAGTTTTGAGAGTCCTTCATCATGTGCTTCTTGCTCGATCCATCGTGGCTTTTTTTGCCACTAAAAGGTTGTATGGCGTTGGTGTTTTTTAAATGAAAGACCATGTAGGTACGTCCAGAGTGCATGCAATTAGCGAGATATTCGAGGCCCGCACCGCGCGACGACGCGTCGGCCGGCCCGGCGCGGCGGTTTTGACACACGCAATAGCTATAAACCGCAACGCTTAATTGAGCTTGGGCGCATTTATAAAATCGCTGGAAATCAGAATACTACTATAATATTCTGCTTTTTTTTTGAAGTGGCTTGCAAGTGAAATTTAGTGGTATTTTTAATTTAAAAACGAGTCAAATTTTATACTAAGATTGCCTTGCGATTTTTTTTGATTAACCTATGTTATACTTTTTATTTCGTGATATGGGTATTTTTATGGAACGAACGCTCATTGACACCCTCATTTTTGTAAGAATTAATTAGCAATATTTAAAAAGGCATTCATGTTGAAAGATCGATGGAATCCGACGTCTGCTCCGCTACCGAGCCGGCAGAGAGCCGTGCTCGTGTGAAAACTTTCTACGTCACACCAAACACAAAGAGCCCGTACACCGAGACGCATGTAAACATTGCTCTCCAGTGGACATCGAACCCGCTCGTATTGACTCTTATGAATATTGTAGCATTATATACAATTGTGAATCTTGCCAATTTGGTTAAGGTTTTATTGCTTCTGCTGATGTCATAAAAATTCATATATCTTGCGATACGATAAACCCGTCTTTATCTAACCAAATAAATTGTATTTTATTTGTGGCTTAATGTTGTCAGTGCTACGAGTTGCTTTGTGGCGAATTCAATTTTGAAGTGTTTTGGATGCGATTTATTTGCAGTTCATAAAAGCTATTTGCTATTGCGCTAACGCGTTTATATTGTAGTTTGCATCATGCATTTGTCTTAAATAAAACAAGTGTAATTACTTATAACTATTAAAAGCTAGCACATGTAACTTTTTTAGTTAAGCCAATCTATAGCATGGCAGTGCGAATGATACGTGAAATAAATGATTGCGAAGAATTTGACCGTAGCGAATAAATAATTCAATTTTAAAACAACAATATAGCAACTTTAACGTTGCGGCTTGTTTAGCATGTATGTATGGATAGTACCTAGAAATCGAAGCTGCAGCGATTAGGCACACGAGAACGTGTTAGGTCCCCAAGGCATGGCTAGTAACTACTCGCTCTCGCTGCAGATCACATAACACACACTATACCTACAGCACAGAGCCCCTTCCTTCCATCTTACGTGCACGTGTAACGGGGGTGTGTTGATTTTATAATTGTATTTTAGAAGCGACCGTTATTAAATTGCTCAGTAATTGAGTTCCGATGCAGCCAGATAGGAGCGGTTTTTATTTCTTTCTAACGACTAATCCTCGCTTCGTTTGGGTTCATCCCTAGATACGTTTTCGTTTATATATGCATATTGCATAGGTCATTCATTTATAACCAACATCAAAATGTTGGTTATAAATGAATACAAATATCATACGTATTGTTTTAACGATATTAATAATAATATCCCCGCTTCAAAAGGTTTCTGATTTTAAATAATATTAAAAAACTTACATTTTACAAAAAAAAAACATCGAAATCGGAGCTGTTCTTAAGAACTTCCGAGGAAAAGACTTATACTCTACTTAAATTAGTCGTTCGTTATATTATCCATAAAAAATGTACAACAAAATTGATGTTTTTATTTAAAAACAAGCTTATGTGTGTGTTTTAGTATTTCGTTAATTCAGTGTCAGAACGCAGTAATAGTAATTAGCTATTAAAAATTACAGAGTTTTATTTCTTAACCATGCCATGCCAATAGCATAAAATCAATATCCTCCCCAAATTTTAAACGTCTATCATCATCGGTTTGGACTTTGGGCTGAACGTTGATAAGTTAGTCAGTGAGTCGCGCCATTGCCTTTAATCTATACATATGATAAAACAATAACTTAATGATAATTTTAACTGAATTTCGTGTAGTGATAACTTATTTCTCGGGTCAACATTTAGGATACCTTATACTACAGAAAAATCTTTCATTCTCACGGGAAAACACATAAATTTGTTCGATCGTGTCGTCCATGGAAATCTTTCGCTGGCTAAACCTCGAAAGACATACATCAAAACAATGTACTAGAGAATTGTAGGTCTTGAAAACCAATCCGATAGTGTTATGCAGTCGGAGACATACACACACTCAGCTATTATAAAACATATAAAATATGTACATAACATATTTTCGATTATATCCTTTGTCAACTTGTTTTTATCTTCTTAGTTCGCTTTTTACGCAGTCCGGTTTTTTATTTATGCTATTTTAATTTTTTTAATCAGAAATAGACATAGTAATAATAAGTTAAATTTATACTCATTATTATGTAATTGCAATAAATAAATATTTATAATCAATGATGGATTCTCTTCGCTCCTGCTATGTACATATATTAAACTTACACTCTTGATTTTTAGTTTTTACACACGTTGTGAAATTTAATTCATTATTTCTAATAGGTTTTTTAAATAAATCGTTTTCGTTTTATCGAATGTCACGATACATTTTGATATAGCATATATGTTTGTTGTTTTCAGTACTGGTTGTGTGTCGTCGTGCTGCTCGTGTCCGGCATATTCTTTGCGGTCATCAACTTGTACTGGAAGAAAGGTGCGCTATCTTATCAACTAACGCTATTCTTAGAAGTTAGCAAGTAGATGTTATCAGTAGTGACGCGATGCGTCACTCGCTGTGTAGTACTGCACTATTCATTTATAAATTATACATATATTGATCGATTAATTGATTCATTGCTCACAACGGGCCAGAAATGATCGCAGTGATATACATACATATGTATGTAACAGTTTGTCATTTTATAATATATTTATCTATTCAAATATTATAAAGAGGTAAAGTTTGTGAGTTTGCAAGCTTGTAGGAGGTAATCTCTGGACCTACTGAACCGATTTAGATGAAATTTGGTAAGAAGATAGTTTGAGACCCTGGGAAAGACATAGGATAGTTTTTATCCATCATTCCTTTCTCATGAGTCACTCCACCATTGTTATAAACCGTACGAAAATCTATTCGATAGTTTTTGAGTTTATCGCGTTCAGACAGAGAGACAGACGCGGTGGGGGACTATGTTTTACAACATGTATAGATTTATTTATTTATTGAAGGACAAACAACAAAAGATACATTAAAAACGGTATGATATTCATGTGCTAACAATTTCATAAATGTTCTTTTAGTTATAGGTTATCACGACATGTTTTTTTTTAATCACGTCAATAATATATAATTGCAAGATTCTAGTTTAATTTTAAAAATTAATAATAAGTTAATAAATGAAGTTGAAATTAAATTATAAAATCAATAAATACGACAATTGAAATATAAAAAATTACATAATCAGACATGTAATTAGAATAAATGTAAATAGATAATGATATATAAATAGTCAATCCAATAAAACAAAAAATACAATTTAAAAATAAAAAATAATAAAATAGATTGTGAGGTATGATATTTATTCGAATAATTTTATCTTTACCATTATAGACCATATGAATTAATTGGGTATAATAGTGACGCTTGATTTTTTGGCATTTTTAGTTTGTTCGTTTACCGAACTCCGAAATTTTTATCATAATAATTATCTCGGATATTTTTCTTCCATGTATTTATACATCACAATTATTATATTAGTGTAGTCATCAGTGGTATGGTAACTTGTTCCCTGTCTGTAGTGCTGACGGTGTTCGGAACGAGCGTGTACGGCGGCGCGATGATCGCCACGTGCCTGGACTACTTCCTTGAGCGCATGGTCATGCTCAAGTGGGTCAGTACTTACGACGTGCATTTTGCTTATATATATACAATAGTTTTATATTGTATTTCTTTTATATTTTACTTTAACATGGTATGGTGATGGTTCAAAGCCGTTTCAGACTACTATACTTTACATACATACAGGAGATCATCTAGTAATTAAAATTAATCAATCGTCAATCTAAGTTATAATTGCCTAGAACTATTGTAAAAGTCATGTCGAAAAAAATGACGATTTTTGGGAAGTTGCAAGCATAAAGTAATAGATAGATAACTAAATGTTTCAATAAAGTTTAGTATTACTGTGTTTGTGTGTGTATTGTCAATGGTCGTTGTGGTCGCGTGTGTGCGCAGGTGTGGGAGCGCGCGAAGCTGGAGCCGGCGGTGGCGCCGCCGTGCCGGCTGTCGTGGCTGGCGCTGGCGGCGTGGCCGGCCGCCGCGCTCGTGGGGCTCGTGGCGCAGGCCGCGCTCACCGCCGCCGGCACGCACCACGAGCAGAGTAAGTAGAAATCAGGCTAAAATGATATCGCTTGTATGATATTCACATTTTCTATCATTTAGTCTCTCACTACTTCGTCTTTCTGTCAGATGTTGGAAAGAGTTAGATGCTTACGCTAGTATTCTACGATTACAATTTATTTCATAAACATTGTAGCCACCTTGAATATGTGTTCATCATATTTCAATCATACGTACTTATGTTTCAAACTCGTTACTCTCCCAAGCCATTACGTATACATATACCTAGTGGCGTAAATAATAAAATATACCTATAACTTACGTTTGTTATGACCCTTATAGTCAGCATCACTGACCTAATTATTTGACCATCACATTTGATCTTATTCTTCAGCACGCCATTATTACGATACGGATAAGTGCGCGACACTCGATACCGCAGTCCGCGCGAGGAGCAGTCGAGCGTTACGAGACGTAGAACAGTTATATGAAGCACTATATATAACCAATTATATTATTATTATAAGAACAATCGATTCTAATTATATTAAAGAACTAGCATTGCCCGCGGCTCCGCCCGCGTTCAGCTGACCAAAAACCAAATTCTTTTAGGCTTTACATATTAGTATACTCTTACATTGCAGTTTTTGTATTTTTTATTTAGATTTATTTTGATTTTTATTAGCCTTTTGCAAAGACAGTGCTTAACCATATCTATTGAATTCTTCAATTTCAATCAACGTCTCTCAACAATTTCACCATTTTTAATACCTTCGACTTACAATTGTGAAATGTATAGATTTTGTGAAGTTTTCTTAATTTAAACGGTATTCCCGGCCGTGTCGTTATAGGAACGCAGTCTGCAGTAGTATAGCGTGCGTGTGCGTGTGTGTTGCAGGTATTAGCGCGCAGAAGCGGCGGCTGAAGGCGCAGGCGGCGCGGCCAGCGACGCGCGAGCAGCGCGCCGAGATGAAGCAGCGCAAGTACCGCTACCTCTACCAGGTGCGCACCGCGCACGGGGACGTCATCTCGCAGGTATCGCATCTCACTGACGCAAGTGAAATAAGCTTTTGTTATTCATTTAAATTTACGGTTAATTGTGGCGCGACCAAGGCATATGGACAAGAATTATTGGAAAAACCAATATACCATATGTTGACCCGGATAACCAGCTTTCATCATAAGAAATTTCATCAAAATCTATACAGTGGTTTTCTCGTGATGCGGTCGCAGACAGACAGTCTGACAGATAGACAGAGATTTTTTTTTAAACTATAGATTCGACCTCTACATCGATAATAATGACAATTTCAATAAGATTTTCCAAAAAAAAAAATATGTACAGATTCGACACAGTTAATTTTTTTTTATGTATGGATTAGCCCGAAACATATTTGATCTAAAGTACGATAACTGTAAGCGTGTTTACATCGTACAATCCGTTCCAGTCGTACGTGCAAGCGCTGCAGAAGAAGGCGCAGTGCAACAACTGGAGCGTCGGGGGCGGGGCGGCGGGCGGTGCGGGCGGCGGGGCGGCGGGCGGCGGGGAGTGCAGCACGCTGCAGAGCGACTCCACGCACCTCACCGTGCTGGCGGGCTCCGACCTGGCGCACCACACCGACTCCGACGACGACCTCAACCAGATACGCGCCGTGCACTAGCCGCGCCCGCTAGGCCTAGCTGCCCGACACGGTGAGACGTGCCTGCTACACATACATAATATTAAAACTAGCAAAACCCGCGGCTTCGCTCGCGCTAAAAGTACAAAAAACAAATTCTAAAAATTGTAGGTTTCATACAACCTTTCATCTATCTCCTATTTTACATCCTTGTGGGATGAATTTCGAAAAACGCTGAAACACATATTTTATTTAATTGTATTGAAGAGCGTTAATACCATATTTCAAGTAATTCTGATCATAAACATTTTTTGAGTTGTATTACAGCGTATTTTCCCGTGGGAATTAGATTATCTCCCGCGGTAAAAAGTAGTCTATTGGAGGGCTGGAGAGTGCTCCAGCCCTCCAACTATCTCCACACAAAAAATCGCGCCAATCCGACACACCGTTTCGAGGTTTCTTTCGTTTCCAACACTATCACATTTATAATATTAGTATGGATACTCGTGTCACAGTGTTTGTAACGAAACTCCTCCGAAACGGCTTGACCGATTCTTATGTAATATGTGCCTTAATATAAAGTTATTAAAAATTAATTTGTTCCAAATATTGACGCGTACATGATAATGTCCTACTTTGCCTTCAATACATATTTTTTACTTAAGGAAGTGAAAGTTGCGCGTAGAATAAATATTAAAACAAATATATTTGCTACTTTCACTTCCTTGTGACATGTAATAATCAAACTTTTTTAGGCTGTTTCAATATATAGTTCCTCATATTAGTAATTTTAACAAACAAATGCAAGAGATAATTTTACAACATATGTATTAACATTTGATAAATGTTTTGAGGATTATAAAACAACTAGCGGCTCACCCTCGCTTCGCTCGGGTTCGTCCCTAGGTGTGTTTTAAATAGATATAAATAGTTATTAGCCAGCGTTAGCCATATAAATTTTAATTTTTTTTTACGTAAATTTTTCTGAATTCTAATGTTTTAATAATTATTATCCTATTCTTGACTAAGAGAAATCCAAAAAATCAAATATCATAAATATTGGACACGATATATATATAATATATACACTAGCGATACCCGCGTCCAAATTTCCGATCGCTAACAAAATTCACTGGATCGATTCACAGATCGATTTTTATTTATTTACTAGCATTGCCCGCGGCTCCGCCCGCGTTCAGATGACCAAAAACCAATATCTTAGGTTTTACATATTAGTATACTCTTACAATGCAGTTTTTGTATTTTTTTCTTAGAAATGAAATATTTTCCCGCGGTAAAAGGTATCCTATATGTTGACCCGAATAACCAACTATCATCATACCAAATTTCATCAAAATCTGTCCAGTGGTTTTCTCGTGATGCGGTAACAGACAGACAGACATACAGACAGACAAAAATTCTAAAAACTAAAGATTCGGACTCTGTATCGATAATAATGTCTATTTCAATTAGATTTCCCAAAAAATATTTAATGTACAGATTCGACTTAGTTAGAATTTTATTATATGTTTAGATTGCTCGGAAAATGCAGTCTTTTATGAAAACTTAGTGGCACAGCGAGGAGTAGTTTAACAAACACACGTACAGAAGCATTATATATATAAAGATAAATATATATCTCTTGCGGCAAGGATGAAATGCGTATGTCTCCGACTGATAATACCTTATTCCTTCGTCAATTGGTTTTCTCCTTTTTAGCTAGCTTTTAGGCAGTCGGTTTTATTTTTATTTTTATAATATATTTTTTATTTGTACGCACTTCACCTTGGTAGAACTTCCTATTCTAACTTTTTGTCTTTTTTATTTCAGAAAAGTGGCGTAAACACAGTCAACTAGTGTACCAGACGCAGTTATTTAGATTCATTCAAACACCAGTATTATTAAGAGATCCACTTTTACATTATCTCACATTAAATATTACTACACGTGTATCTCCATGTGAATGTGAACGGTCAATAAAACCGACATACAAACGTTGTATTCTACAAGTGTTGTCTTAAAGAATGTATGTATGTAGGTTACAATCAGGACGAGTCCAAGGCCGAGTTTGATTTTGATATAGATTTATTTTTTAATCAATTTTACAAAATTACAAGTCATATTAAGAATTAGTGAGAGTACTTCGGAATTAGCACTGCCATATTCATAGTACGTACGCTGTAGGCGACCGTCGCGAGTGGCCTTGGACCCGCGCCCCCACACTTGTCGCCGTATGGTTCTTATGGCTTTAGTGTACATAAACTGCAAGATTGTTCGATGTTACTGTTTCCTTTACCTCATCAGGGCTCGGAAACCTGTCCAATTTTTAAACCGGTTTTAAGGTTTCGGTGACGTTTTTTAACCGCTTACACCCTTAAAAACGGTTTTTGACAAATTTAGGTTCCATGGTCGAAATTAACCGTTTAAAACGAGTTTGCTGTGCTGTGCCTTTACATTTGGCAAATCTTTGCTAATGGTGAATTGTTTAGTAGACGGATACATGTACGTTTCTTACTTATGAATGAATTAACCGGTTTCTTTCGATATCAAAACCTAAATCTAATCTTTCTCTAAGAATAACCGTTAACCATTATTATTTAGGTTTACTAAACCGTTCATTTTTATGAACAGTTTAATACACGAACGATGAATTAATCATTATATTATCGAAATTTACCGTTTTTTTAAACCGGTTCCGAGCCCTGCGTCTAATAACACAGGGCTTTAACCGATACTGTAGCGACATGCTGGCGCTAGGTGGTACTAGGCTGTGTCTCAAGGGCGACACACATTGTGGCGCCCGCGTTAGTGGACGAGCAAACTACTCGCGTTATATTTTTTATAATTATGTTTATTTGTTTGTATTGTAAGTTGTATGAAATGGCACAAGTGTGAACATAAACGTATGGTTGTGTGGAACTATTCGTGTCTCCAATGCAGTACCTACACTAGTGGGAGCTCGGCGCGAAGGCCTGCAGCGCTCCGGCGACTGTACGCCTCCGAGTTCTGGTATTGTATGGATTGTTAAGTATAAATATCATATTATACTAATATATATTTACTTTATACTACTGATGTGCAAATTCTTTAAGAATAATTATTTTTATAAACAAAATTGTTATAAAATCCAACGATGTAATGTGGATGTAAAATCGATTAAGGTGTAATCTCTACAATACCAAAACGAGGTCCTCAAAATTTAACAGATGTATTATATGAATTTAGTTTTGTCGTATATTTTAAATGCGCAATATATTTTCGTTTAGTTAGAGATATTTTGCTACATCATTTTCTAGATTGATAAGTATCTCGCGCGGCTCCAAGAGTACGAGGAAATTTAAGTCTACTATTTTAATTTAAGCCCCATTTGAATTGACCGCGCGGGAGTGTTCGCGGCGCTCGGGGTGTACATTGTATGTACATTGTAAATAATATAGAAATGTATCGCACCGCACGTGTGCGACGGACGACGTATGTATATTGTATATATCAGCGTCTCGATGCAACTTGTCTAGAAAGTACTCCAGCTCTGCGCGTGGACATAACATTTTCCTATCTCAAATCGAATTATTAATTAATAAAGACAAAAGGAAGACATTTTAGAATGAATGAATCTACGTAGCATCAATCCCACACGCTCCCACGCGGTCAAGGAAATGAGTCTACCTCGTGTGATATGTTATATTTTGGCCAAAGTTTATTTTAGTTGTTACGACATTGCTGCAGGTGGCGCCACGCGCCAACTGGTTTTGTTCCATTTTAATGTTTACACAATTTTATTCCGCTTGTCTTATTTGCTTTAAACATTGTGAAGGTCTGACGTCCCCAGTGGCGCGACAGTGCAGCGCCGCGCCGGGCCTCGGGCCGCACGAGAATTGTTATTTATTATATTATTTTATATAAGATTTGAAGCCAGCAACTGGTGGGTCATTGAGTTGAAATTGTAGATTTATTTAATCGTAAGAACAAAGTTGTGTATGAAACATTCGCGATATTTTATTGTATTCCGTCGCGTAATTTACGTACGGGCAGCACATTACATGTACATATATAGGTATGGTAGTTGTAAGTAGTGGTAGTGATAGTGGCATTTAGTTGACATTCTTCTTCCTCCACGACGTCCACTCGTTCGCTCAATTTCTAGTCTCTTATCTGTTGTATACATTGCCTGTACACCTCCCCCCCACCTATTTCCCTCCCCCCCTCCATACTCCCTCCGACTACCCCGAATCTTCCTCCTGCGATATGTCTAGTCCGATACTCAAGTATATTCGCTATTTGGTATCATTCGTAATGCTTTCAAATAAAATATTTTAATTATTTATTCAATTTATTCAATTATCCGAATAAACATATTTACAAGTTATTATTATTGATATAGGTATAGCATAACTATCGTCGAGATTAGTCAACGTGCAACTTTTCTCATATTTTAAGTGATTTTAAGACATTTAGATCAGCTTGTGAAATGATGTCCAGACACATCACAGAGGTTTATGTTATACTAGAATGTTATTTTTAATAGACAATTTTCTGTTTATATTTCTTTAAATTGAATTTATATTTATTTTAAGTTGAGTTGTCTCGTATTGTGTAATCGATGATTTTATATTTTATATTAATCGGTAAGCGGAGTGTGTTTTATTTCCCATCCTCCCCGCGCGTAGATATCATGGAAGTTGTATTTTATAGTGAGATGTATGTATGTATATAAGCTATATCCCCATTCTCACATGTCGTGCACATTTAGTAAGGTAAATACGAGAGTTACTTGTGAATAAGTGTAGTCGCCGTAGTGTGCTAGGCCGCTAGCGTGCTCGCGTCCCCGCGCTCCCCGCGCCCCCTCCGCCACGTCTCGTCTCGTGTTCGTGTCGCGCTCGTTTCTCGTAAGTTTAGTTGGATGGCATTCACCAGTGCACAGTGACGATGATCACTTGATATGAACATTAAATGTTATAATATTGTATCCTTTCTCTTGTACGTAGTAGGTTATCATACTTCATTTATTAGTGTTTAAACGTGGCGTGCACGTTCATGTGTTTGTATCTTTTATGGACTTCATATTCTAAATTATTAGCGCTCGGGCGCAGTGCGCCCCGTCGCGCCGCCCGCCGCAGGCAGCGCGCAGACTATACTCTGTTCTTTCATTCGGCAGCAAAATTGTACGTATAGTGTAATTTTGTATATACTTAGTAGGCGAGAAATATTATGTTTTAAAGTAATTTCGTGCTATAAGGATTGCCAACTGATAATAGGCTAAGTACTGAGCACGTGAACATTCCCCGCGCGTGGACCTCGATTCATCCTAATTCTTAATATTTACAATTATCTTATTGATTATATTCGATTATCGCATTTTATATGTATACAATGTACCTTAGACTATATTCATGCGAACTGTTGATGGCCGCCGCGGCAGCATGCTGTAGGTATGTATGTACAAACACGCATTTGTAAAACTACTACAGCTACGCGAGTGTCGCGGACGTCCGCGTGTCCACGCACACAGCAGCGCACATGTGACATGCACACACGCGCACACCCATACACGCACAAAACCACTAAGGAACCGAATATTTAACTAATTATTACTGCGATTCTCCATGTATCTATAAATATATCACACTTATACCTGTATACCACAGTAGTGCTCTGCGCAGACAGTCCCCTCGCCGAGCGAGACTGGCCCCGCCAGGACAGATAACGATATGTTAAATGATATATATTATGTATTAACTTAGATGTCGTAGGAATTGTAAGTAATAAATGCAAAGGAATTGCATAGGTACGAGATACTATGCAGTGTGTATGTGTCTGTCCCCAGAGACTCGACGCGACGCACGAGCTACAACGATTGTCTCATTCCATTTAAGAGGGAATATATTTTCGATTTATTATCTAAAGATTATAGGTATTTTTGAAAAAGTCCATTAATTAAATTTTAAGGAAAGAATTAGTATCGTGATGTGTGATGTATTTATGTGAGAGATCGCGACCTCTGGGAACAGATATATTGTATTTGAGATACGTTGTGTCTGCAAGCCGTAGCTGTTTAAGGAATGGTATCGAAGTTGATTTAATCAAATTCTCTGTGAATCACAAACTTGCTTGTATTATAATAGTATCGAGTGAGGGACTATTTCGGTTGCTTTCGTGCAGAGTCCCTGGCTGGGGGCGACCAGCGCCGGCGCCGTGCGCGACTGTGCCGCCCGCCGGCGACCATGCTCCAGCATGGTTTCGTTTCGTATTTATATACATATAATATTTTATCTAAACCACCACAACATTGGGAAATTATTTGTTAAGAGTGAAACTCGTGTAGGACTAAAATTACTTATTGTAAGGCGACGTGGTGTAGTTGTAAAGTGATAGTTGTAATGTGAACTTTGTTCATTTTTATAATTAAATGAAACAGATCTCACGCGTGCGCCGGCCGACGTCCGTCGTCTGGCGCTCTTCAACATGAAAGCTTTAGGCCATTGAAAATTTATCCATTTAAAATGGCGATAAAATTTCTAAATTAGATTAGTTTTATATTTGTTGTTTATTGTATATTATTCAATCGAGTACATAGAAAACGTCTTATATGACCTGTGTATCATTACACACTGTGTGGCGTGTGAACTCTTAGTACAGTTGATGCTCAATATGAAGCTATTGTGTCTTGTTTGTTGTAACACGATGCAAGTGTAGGCGACATGTTATGTTTTCACTTATCGATTATACTTTATTCAACTATTCGTAGATGTAAGTATTAGCTCTATATTAGTACAGGCGTACTGCAGGCCTAAGGCTTGATGGATTGTAGAAAACGATTGATTGTTAGTAAATACGTCTGTACGATTGTGCACATCGCATTGCATTGTGAATGCACAACACGTACGGGTGGATTTAGGTCGTTTGTGTTGCTCAACTGCCAATTGAGATAAGATCAGTGTTTGTGTATTGTTGTGTAACTTTCATTAACTTTTAATCTATCAACTATCGTCTACACTTGCAAGAATTTAATTCATTATGTATGTGGTCGCCCCACTCTCCCCTCCCCCCATCCCCGGGCCACCACCGTCTCGCCTCATGGAGTCGTCAGTGGAAGGCATTAACGTAGATATTTGGACAGTAGTCCTCTTGCCAATACTGTAATGTATGAACGTTATTTTAATAAATAATTTGTTGTCATCTCGTCGCGTTTTTTATTTGCAACCTTCCTCCGACCAGAGCGTCGCCCGTCGCCCGACGGCCGGCCGCGGCAGGAATAAAACAATATAGAACGGTGAACAAGATATTTATATTAAAATAAACAGCATCTAAACTACACTCAGTTATGCGTATATCACCTGTTGTTTATTACATACAATACTTTGGTTTACTTTTAAAACGTAACGTACACTAGCTTACGACGTAGCTTGGTCGCACCCACACATAGCACGTATTTATTACCTTACATTTATTTATACATTATCTCTTATAAATAATTAACTAAGCATTTTTATTAAATAATTAACTTTCTCCTCTCTGTTAAGTCGTAGCTTGTTAGTAAATAAAATCGTCAGTTGACAAACTCGTGCAAAGTGCAAAATGAACTGAATTGACAGTTCTATACCATTCACTATGCCACATTATCAAGCTAGTGTTGTTTAAGCATAGCCGTCGAAGTTATGTCGCGCGACATTGTTAGCTCACTACACATCAACACGCTATCCAGAATATTCCTCTCACCGCTCTTTGTGCTTGTGTAATATCTAACATATAATACTTCGTGCCCACTTTTATAAATAATTGTATTTATGTATGTATGTGTATATATATATATATATATATATATATATATATATATATATATATATTCTATAACAGCTACTCATCACCAAGACATAGATAACAGTCGCAGCGTAGTATCGACTTCACATATTTTAGTTTGTGCCTTAACGTAACGTTAACATTAGATTTTTCACAATTCTATCTCTACCGATTATATACATTTTGTCTTGTTATCATAAATTTATAATAATATCTATATTCGTATTAACAAGGGTACATTAAGTTTTCAATATTTTAATTATATTATATACCATAATTGTCATCATCAATCGACAATCAAGAACAGAGATACGATTCTATTACTTTAAAAGTATTCATTGCATCCAAAATTGACACATTAATGCGTCTCAGTCTCATTCGACTAGTTCCCAGCGGGAAGTAACAGAGACGCCCTGTCAAACTGTACGTGTGCACGTGTGGGTTTGCTTTATATGCAAGATGTGATCTCCTCCACGTAGGAAGATGGGAAGATGCCGAAAGCTCCGTTGAGGTCGCCGCTCCACCACACATCGTCTTGCTTCTCGTAGATGTTGATAATATCACCTGTTCATAACATTACCACTTATTAATATTTCCAGCTTAGGTACCTACAGTAGTCAGTCAGCAGATAGTGATACACTAATCACAAGACGACTTTTCACACAGAACTTTATAGACTACTAGCGACTCACCCTTGCTCCGCTCACGTTTATCCCTTTTCGTATAGATTTCTCAGAGCTGAGATATTTTCCCGCAGTAATATGTTGACCCGGATAACCAGCTATCATCATACCAAATTTCATCAAAATCTGTCTAGTAGTTTTTTCGTGATGCGGCTACATGATTTTTTTTAATCTAAAAAGTTTACCCGTTATATATTACCTACCGCTGTTTTAAAAATGCGAAAATTTAAAAAAAGAACACAAATATTCTAGAAATCATCGCAAAAAATACAATTTTAAAATATTTATTTTAAGAAAATAATTAGAGGATCTTTATACAAGATTTCTTATAAAAAACTTTTTATACTTAACAAGGTTCTATAAAGTCGGTAAAAAAACGTAGTAGAAAATTGTAGTGCTTAAGATCTACAGAAAAGTCTGCCATATCATATATCTATCTCTAAATAGTCCAGCGTATGAAGATTTTTGGCTTCACTTTCCATCAAAGTAGATAGATTTGCCTGAAATTTTGACAGTAGGAAAATATCTCAAAAAGTAAAATCTAGGGGTGAAAACTACTCTAAATGGGGGTGTGTTAATTAAAAAAATCCCTCCAGGAACCAATAGCAATAAAGAATTCTAAGCAAAACGTGTTCTATAGAAGTTTTTCGAAAAATCAATACTTTCCGAGTTATTCGTGATTGTAACGTCACATTTTTTGGAACTCACGTTTTTAAATGATTTCTCACTAATAACTCAAAAAATTAAGATTTTATTAAAAAAACTAATAACCAAAATGTTATTTCATAAACAAACCAAGAAATTAATATTTTATTTTTTAATGTAGGTGCAATAATTATACTTAATAATCTATACTATAATCAAACTGTAGAGATCGAATGTCTGTACATAGAAAAGAAATGCTAAAAATCGAGTCAGGGGGACGTAAGAAGAGAACTAGAACCAATCTAGATTTTTTTTCATTTTTTTTGTTTCTCTATCTGTTTGTACGGGCTAATCTCCGAAACTATTAGAGCGATTTAAATGAAATTTGGCATGGTGGTACCCTATATCCCCAGTCAACATCTGAGATACTTTTCATCCCAGAAAGAGTTAAAAGAACTTTAAAGAGTTCCCGTGGGATAGTTAAAAAACTATAGTAACTTATACAGCTTATAACACAAAAAATACTGATTGGATTTTAATGAAACTTTACAATAATATAATTCATACATCTTAATAACAAATAGGCTACTTTGTATCCCAGAAAAATGTACAGTTCCTGTGTGATAAATTTCTTATTGCTTGTCTAGAGGCGAACCCCAGCGAAGCGAGGGTGAGCCGCTATCTCTTAAGGTACACTCGCAACAACTAGGTATATATATTTAAGTCGTACCTAGATGTACGCACCCGAGCGAAGCGAGGGTGAGTCGCTAATATGATTGGAATTAAGTAAATCGAAAATTTGTAAAACAGAGAGTACTGACCGGGCGCGAGAGTAAGCTCGTCGTCGAGACGCGCCTCGTACGCGTAGAGCGCGCGGCACTTGCCCAAACAGCCATGAAGCGGCGTCCCGGCCCCCGAAACCCCACCCGCCCCCGCCGTCTGCTTCTCCTCACGCGTCTCCGTCGAGCAGTCGCTCTGCGACGAGAACTCGTCTGCAACAGAATATTATCTTACTACTTATAACTACGTATATTTCATAGTAAAAAAAAACATTTTTAAAAACGAGTTTTATTTAAATGCTCTAAAAAGAAAAAAAAAATCTTTAAATTAAATCAAACCCAACAATTTATTACATTAACTTCAATCGGGGTAACTTTGGCCCGGTCAGGAAAGATTTCGTAATTTTTTTTATTCTTTTGTAGACAACATATAAATATTTGCGCCTCGACTGAGACGTACGAAAAATTTTATTATTAAATTTAATAGTATAAAGAATCTGCATTCGTTTAAAAAGTTTAATTAAAAATACTTTAATATTTATTTTTAATTGAACTAATAAAATTTAATTTTTAAAACATACGATGTCTCGATACTTTTTTGTTTAGAAAAGTTAAGTTTGCGAAGTTACGGGAGGAATAAAATGTTTATTTTTATATCCAATTATAAAAGTTACATAACATAACCACCTTATACAATTTTCGTATCCAATTATACGATCTGGCAGCCCCGCACGGTTGTTTACCGAGTGTATACCGACCGCGAGGCGCGTACGTATAACTCGATTTCCGACCGTTTGTATGAAGATGGAATACTATATGTAATATTACTGTGGGCCAATGTTATACGGAAGGGCAAAGTTACCCAGATTGACTGTACACAATTTATCTATCTATATAAAATGCTTTGTCCTGACTCCTAATTGACTGTAACTGATGGATCAACGCACAGCCTAAACAGCTGGTCGTAGAAACGTGAAATTTGGAGGACGTATTCCTTATATGATATGGGCATCTGATAGGAAAGGATTTTTCGAAATTCATTCCTTAAAAGGGTAAAAGGGGGTAATAACTTGAAACTTGGTATTAATGTTCTTCAATACAATTATATAAATGAGTATTTTAGAATTTTTCGAAATTCAGCCACTAAGGGGGTAAAAATGGTCTTTGGCCCACCATAATGTGAATTCATGTTTAAACTTAATGTGGCAGCAAGTACCAATAAATACAACAATTGCAAGTATATTAAAATCATAAGTACCAAAGTCGCTATCCTGTTGGTTGGAGAGTCCGTCGCCGATGCCCCGCTCGCTCCAGTCGAGCGGGCTCTCGAGGGGCGGCGGCTGCAGGGACGGAGGCGTGACCGCCGGGGGCTCTGTACACGGCGTGGGTGGCGCGCTCTTGTGCTCCGTGTGCCGCCGGAACGAGAGGTGCTCTATCCTCAGCTTACTGGACGCTCTACTCATTATGGAGTCCCTCCTCTCGCGGTCTTCACCGTTGACGCTTTTGGATAACGCGGTATAATTTGGTTGGAGGTTTTTGTTGAGCTCGTTCTGATAATCCGCTTGAAGCCACGGCGGTACCTGTCCATGTGCGTCACAACTCAATATTAGATGTCGTTATGTTTATTACTTACAAAAAAATATGAATACACATGTAATAAATTATCAATAAGACTATTGTAACGACACTCGACGTCTCGTGAAACACAGAAAAGATAGCTCTGATAAGTACTTTTATATTGTCTGCATGAAACAGGATGTAGTTCTGAAAAGAAATGTTTGTACGTGGCAAGATCTATCCTGCGCAAACGCTGCGATGCAAATAGCGTTTCGCCCGCATTTACCGGTTATTGGCCATTTCGCTACCGTCACATGGGTGTATGATGAAACATTTATTCATTGTTCATTACTTTTCTATTATTCAATAATTCTTGTATTAACGATACGGATCCTTCTGTGAGTATTTGTTTTATTTTATAAGTAACTGAAGTAGTTTACAAAAAAATCCAAAAATCTCTAAAAAAAAAGGTACATTTTTTGGAAATAAAACTATCGAGATATTTTCATCAATTGTGTGTGTGTCTTAATGACGGATAGAAGAAGGTTTGAAAAATCATATATTTAGGTTATCGGTTTCGTTGAATATCTGGTTTACTTAGAAAATTTGCCTAAGCAAATCAGTGTTTTTGTGTAGCCATTTTAAGTCAAAATATATTTTATTTAATTAAATTTTCAGGAGCATTTTCTTTTTATTCTAGTAATTTAAGGTTTATAAGGGAGTTACTTGCGATATACAGTTCTGTTGAGAAGCTGTGCTATCTACAAACTCTTATAAATATCGAATTAAAGAATTTTAAAAAGTACCCAATATTCTGCAGCGTATGAAACAATCTTGATGAGTAGGTTAAGTGATACAAAGTGATAGTACCTTGAGTATGCTCTGTTGCAGACCCTGCTTGTCGCGCAGCACGCGGATATGCGCGGCGAGCGGGTGGGGCGCGGGCGGCCGCGTGTCCAGCGCGCTCAGGCTCGCCGCCGTCTTGTAGCGCACCGCCTCGAGGTACATCAGCATCGATTTCATCTGCAAACGAACACGCCTCATATACACATACATGTAGGTGCACTTATGCGACAAACACTTCCTATCACGCTGAGGATAGTGGCGTCAATATTGAAGAATAATTAACCGTTGTTTAATATAGTAGAGCTGAAGATTTGTTACAAGATATTATTCAATGATAGTATAATTAACTAAATAAATACTCTTATTTCGAATTTATTTTATTTCATAGAGCAAATATTATGGTTGCACTATAAATAATAAGGTCACTAGATAAGTTTTGCAGTACAGCTTTTATTGCTAAAAAATTTTAAAATAATTTTCGTCATAATTTATACACTTAGCCATGCGTAAAAACCAATCATTAATAATATCCCTTCACTGTCTTCTGGCAGTTCTGAATAGGCCTGACCCCAAGCAGCCAAAAGTTCAGTAGGTATCTGTTTGAAATCTCCTCCCTTTCAAGTTTCAACTGATCTTTAATGATTGGTAAAAGAGCAAAGTCACAGGAAGCTAATCTGGACTAAACGCAGGGTGCTCAAGAAATTTAACATTACTGGTAGAAATTCGACAATATCACATGATACTTGCGCGACTGCGTTATCGTGATAAAAATGCCAAATGTCCATTCTCCAATTTGGTCGTATGCCCGAAAGCGTTTGAATGTTTTTTGACAAAGATATATGTACCAGGAGGCGTTTATAGTACACAGAACACAACTTTTGTTAACTTACTGTATAACGTTAATGGCCTGTCAAGATATTAAGAAAAAATATTTTTAACTATGTCCTCCATTAGTAGAATTAGTGTATTGCAAGACTTATCGAGTGGCATTTGTTAGTAGCAAATTTACATTATATACATCATATAACAATATTGTACAAAAAAGTAAAGATCGTGGAGTACATATCGCTGCTGCAGCTTATTATACCTATAAAGCAAATTTTCATTCAAACTCGAGTTTGCAGGTTTATCACACATCGTCACCATATCGTGGGTTGTTCCTTTTACCTGCCCATATCCCGATCTTGTGATAGACTCAACTTTTAAATTAAAGTGAAAGACATTGGAATGAAACACTTGTATAAATAACAAAAATAAATGAATAATAAATAAAAACATTTTTAAAAACAAGCTTTTATTTAAATGATCTAAGAAGAAGGAAATAAACTTTAAATTAAATCAAACCCAACAATTTATTACATTACACAATTTATATAAAAGTTTGTCGCGAGATTTACCTATTTTTACTCGACTGCGCGACGCAAAGGAGGATAATGTGTTTATCAGTCTATATATGTATTTATATTTAAACGTATATAGCGTTCTAGAAACCAAGCGCGTAGGCCGATTTTGATAATTCTTACATCAATCGATTTGTCTTAATCTTGCAAATGTCACTAAAGACATGAAAGTAATCAAAATTAACCACAGTGATAACCAAACGCCATATTTTCAAAATGAAAAAAATAATAATACGAAATTTGTTAAGTGGGGTATCGTTGAACTTGAATAAGTATTTAAAAATCATTTTTAGGTTCCTTTCTTCATTTTTCATTAATTAAATTGTTTAGGATATATAACGATTTAAAGTAAGTTAACATTAAACATGCTCGCTAATTTTCCTACTTAAAAAATTAAAATATACAACTTAAACATATTAAAAGTAATTTAGGATAATAAATTGCTAAATATAACTTCAAATGTCTAATTGTCAAAAACTAAATAGCTGTAAATAAAAATATATATATTATAAAAACAAAAAACCCAACTGCTTAAAAGTTAACTAAAAAGATGAAAACAAGTTTTTATGCTGTCGGGTTTTTATTTTTATTTTAAACTAGCAGCATATAGGATACTTTTTACCGCAGAAAAATATCTCATATCTGAGAAATTTCTAAAATAAAAAAAAACACGCAGTAGAACTTTAAAGTGCATTTTATCGAGAACCGAACTAGTGTGCCAGATTTCAGCTCTATCGGACACTGGGAAATGGGTCAAATTTTACTTTCAAAATTCATCGAGAATGAGGTGAAGCCCGGAGCCTCACAAAAGAATCGTACCTACCCCGTGTCAACTGTAATCGTAGTGTTAAGGTTGGTAACTAAATAAAGTAATAGTCAAGTGATAAAAAGACACAAAAAATTGTGCACGGCAGCAATACCATTGTGAAAAGTCTTACATGGTACAATTTGTCGGCAACATTTTGCTGTGAGTCGTCGCTGCCGAAGGTGGGTGTCTGCTTCATCACCAAGGAGAGCTTCTCCAGGCCCTGCTTAGACTTGCGCTCGCGCTCGATGTCTTGCTTCACCAGCTGTAGGATCTTCAATAACGCCTGCACACCGGAACGGAACATACTCGTTATTTAACTGATTTGTTACTAGCAACTCACCCTCGCTTCGCTCAGATTCGTCCCTAGGTACGTTTTGACGCTTAGTATGGAATAGGTCTTTTTTCTCAAGTTTTTGTTTTAATAGTTATTCTGCTATTTGGTGTAAAGACATATCCAATAAAACAAAGATCATAAAAATCGGTCCAGCAGTTCTCGAGTTATAAGTGTTGTAACAAACCCGACTTTGTTTTATTGTACATATATATAGATTAGTACATATAAATCCATATTTACTAATATCATAAAGGGGAAAGTAACTCTTATCTGTCTGTCTATTACCTTTTCACGCTTAATCCGCTATTCAGATTCAGATGACATATGGTGCGGAGATAGTTGCAGACCCGGAAATCATCCCTTAGGGTGAAAAGAGGAGTAGAAGTTTGTATGGGGAATCAATTAATTATTTCTCTAGTAAGGAGTATAAAACTCATCGTGTATCCTGTAGGTTGTCCGTAGTACATACCTGCTTTCGCCTCTCCTTGTTCATGGCGAGAGTGGTGTGCTCGCAGTAGAAGTCGGGCAGCAGCTGGTCGCTAGCGCCTGTGGGCGTGCCGCGCACGCAGCGCACGACCCGCATATCCACGTTCGCGTTCGCGTTCGCAATGGGCTCCGCCAGCGCGTTGGTCGCCTAGACAACCGCCCACATATAAATACTTTCACTCGACTCATACATAACAATACACCGAGTTGCAAATAAATGGACCCAACTCGTTGATCGATTGTTGTGGATGTCGGCTTATAAACACGCCCTCTTACTTTCTCTAAATTATAATACAATAAAGATTGGATACTATGTACGTTCTGACATCTAATGTCGAATAACAGGAGAGCATTTACTTTAGATTATTATATACTAGCGGCTCTCCCTCGATTCGATTTATTTTTTCACAATGTTTTCCATCACATAAAAACCTCAGAGACTCGATATCGGGTTTGAATTAACTTCGCCTGGATTTTCAAGCGAGCAAGTTACTTTAAGTGAGCAAATCTTACCTCGGTGAGCTGCGGCGGCACGGCGGCGGTGAGGCGCAGATAGCAGTCCGCCGAGCTCTTCAGTTGCGCCAGGCGCTCCTCCTCCAGCGACTCCAGCATGCCCGCGCCCTTCATCACACTCGTCTCCCACTCCAGCCTTCACACGCCACAAAAAAGTACTTTACTATCATAATTTTTAATGAACTTATGATACAATTTGATCTATACAGATAAATAAAATGTATTATATAAATAATAAGCTGTTTGCTATTCGTAATTAAAATAAGGACGAATAAAAAAGAATTTTTTTTTTTTTATAAAATAGGTAGGTATATTTATAAACTAGCGGCTCACCCTCGCTTCTAGAAAACACAAACAAAAACAAAAACAAATCTATCCCTCAGGAACGGTATATTTTTCCGGAATAAAAAGTAGTGTATGTGTTATTATATTGCCTATATATCAGTCAATGCTACTGAACAGAGAAAGAACAGATATAGATAGTTTAACAAATGTTCGCCGTGATTCTTTAAATTGACATAACTTTTTTATTTGTGAACCGATTGACACGAAACGAACACTAAATGTGAAGCTTACCACAGTATTAGTGAAAAACACAACTAAATCGGATAAGCCGTTTCCGAGATTAGCGTTCATAAACAACAGACAAAAATTCTAACAACCATTGTTTTGCTATTTGCGTTATATTTTTTCTAATGTATCTTCTACGTACAGACAGAGATCCGTTACATTTTTATTATATGTATATATTATAAGGAAAGACAAATAGACTAATAAAGTCAGTCAATTCCGGACAAGACAATAAAGCAGTCAGAAACATACATGTTTCATCCTTGCCGCAAGATTTATGGACATACATTATATGTAAATCTCCGACTGGATAATACTTTATTCCTTCGTCAACTTATTATTATTTGTTTTAGTTAGCTTTTGTGCAGCCGATTTTTTTATTTATATTATATATTTTTTTATTTACCATTTTTAGTTTTTGCCAATTAGACATTTAAAATTCTATTTCGCATTTTCTATCCTAAATTACTTTTAAACATATAAGTTGTATATATTTTTGTGATCGGTTTTTAAAAAAGTTTATTTTGATACTGAAGCCTGAAATCCGCCATTTTAGTATTTTACTATTTTTATATAACAAGACGAATCTAACGTCGTATGAATCAGCAAAATCAAACAAACAATATCAACAAACATACGTACATAGACTGAGAAACACATTAGCCTCCTTTGCGTCGCGCAGTCGGGTAAAAGTTGAAGTCTGTTTGTAATGTTAAAATAACAGCTTTTTACTAAATGCATATTAAAATTATATACGACCCTTATTAATTGCGTAAAACGCATGTTTTTTATTTTTCTTTGTCCGTCAGTTTGTTCTGGCTAATCTTCGAAACGGCTGGACTGATTATGAGGGGACTTTTACTGGCAGATCATCATATCAGAACATCAGCTACGTTATAAGGAGTAACTTGGGCTACTTTTATTTTAGAAAAAGATTTAGGGTTTCACTCAAAAAATTAAAACATACCCGAGCGAAGCGAAGGTAATTCGCTAGTGTATTATATAAATTAATTTTATTTTTAATATGTGCTAAAATATGTCGCGTAAAATAGCCCTTATCGTTAAAGAAATTGAATTCAAATCCATTTAACACAGTAACAAGTAGGACGTAGGTATATTGCACGAGTGCAGTGTACCTGGCGCGCTCCGCCTGCACGCACACGTTGTAATAGTCGACCTCGGCCTTCTTGACGGCGTCCTCGGTCTTGCGCCGCTTGAGCTGCAGCTTCGCGTGGTCGCGGTCGTTGCCGGCGCCGCCCGTGCGCTCGGCGCGCGCTGCCGACAGCATCGCCTGCGGGATGTGCCCCGCGCTCGAGCTGCGCGCCATGCGGCTGCTGCCGGCAAAACGTTAACTTACACACTACGTCCACACTTTACGCATGTTTTAGTTTCACTCTCGCACAGCTCTACATCGCTCAGCTATTCGCAACGCAAGTACACAAATAACACTATGAAGGATCCTTCTTATAAGCATCTATATTGAAGCAGACCTAGTGTCGAGCGCGGCGTCCTGCAGTTTCTCGTTGTCGCGCGCTGCGGCGTGCGACTGACGCTTGGACTTAGCCTCGGCCGAGCGCCACTCCGCCAGCGACCGCGTCGTCTTGTCCACGTTCCCCTCGATCTGGAATGTCCGTCAATAGTTATATATATAAAACAACAGAAGTGGCAGAAGACGTGGTGCCCGTTTTTCGTGGGCGTGTTGGTACCTTTTTCCTGAGTTTAAGCTGGCCATCTATGACATTTTTCATTGGTTTTACGAGGTCCTCTGATAGAGCACTGGAATAATTTCTGCAAAAAATATATACATCTTACTATTATGTACATGTCATATTTAAAAATATGTATTTTAAAGTAGAAAAACCCTAACTGAATTATGTTTACCTGTGAATTTCTGAACGTTTCTCCATCTCTAAGGCAACATGCTTCCACGCGTCGGCGCACGAGCCGACGCTCTCCTTGCACGCCTTGCTCAGTTTGGTGCCGAGCTTGGCCAAGCATTTCGAATAATAATTTTCCGCTTCTACCCTGTGGAGCACAGTGCTAACTTAACAAAGCCGCCTCGACAAGCGCAACTTATCTAAATCTATGTAGAACCGAGGAAGTGAACACGAGCAATAATCAAAGCTGTTGCGTAATAATTTGTTGGCTGCGACTTGCGAGTCGCGAGTAGATTCGAGAGTACTTGTTCAGTGGCATGCAAACATACAGCGTGTTGAACATTCGAACGTTTGTTTGGAAACGAAAACGATTATAATTGTAAGCGCGCGATATATTTGTACCTATCGTGGCCCACTTGGCGCCGCATCTATTTTTGTTTTTGTTGCCATTGCCGTAACCTTTCTGTGCGCTACGAACACTTCGCGCTGTTTGATTCGCCCAAATTAAAGTAACCAAAACTTTGTTTTTTTTTTGAAATATCTGATTAGGTATCTATTCTAAATGAAAACCCCCGTTTAGTTATTTTTTATATTTTAGTACCTGGAAGTAGTCTTTTTTTAAGTTTTTATATATATTTAAAAAAAACGAATTGACTTGTTTGCTTCCGCTTTATTTATTATCTCTGTCACAACATTCTGGCCATAAACAATAGCGTATTTCATCATTGCCTTAGCCGTAGAAAGCGAACTCTACAAAGAAATGGCGATAAGATTGCTTATCTGGCGGTCGGCTTCAGTCATGCATTAAATAACTAATAAATCTTATTTGACCTATACAAATATTTAAGTTCATATTTATTTAGTAAGATAAGTTTTACATACTAATTTCTAATAATAATTATTTTTAATAAATGAAATTCTACAACAAATTCTAATTCAGTTTTGAATAAATAATGAATAGACAAAAGTAACAGTGTTTAAATAAACTCTTGTATATTAAGTGTACAAAGTATAACCTTTCTTGTAGGATGGAGGCGAGCTCTTTGCTGAAGTCGCTGCCTTGCTTTACATAGCGACGCAGCTCGTCGAACCCATTCTGTGCCTGGAAGTAAGCGGTTTGGTATCATTAACACCTATCCAATTTTGTAATTTAAATATTCAGTGTAACATAAAAGTCATTTGCATGCTCTAACTATATATTAGTAACATTTGGAAAAAGGCTGCAGCTAGAGTTGGTTTTCGCTTCAAAGAAAGATTAATTATTAAGTACTAGCAGAACCCGCGGCTACGCTCACACTAAAACTGCAAAAAAACTCATATAATGGTACTCATATAATGGTACTCATATAATAAACCCATAAGGGATGAATTTCATAAAAAGTCTTAAATACATATTTATTTAATAATTGTAGTGAAGAGCATTAATACCAAGTTTCAAGTAATTCCGATCATAAATATTGTTTTTATGTTGTATTATAACGTGTTTTCCCATAGGAGTGAGATAATCAATCTCCCGCGATAAAAAGTAGCATATGTCACTCTTCAGCCCTGCAACTATCTCCATATAAAAAATCACGCCAATCTGTCGTTCCGTTTCCACGTGAAAGTAGGACAAACAAACAAACACATTCCAAATTTATAATATTAGTATGGATTATAATTTCACCCGCGCAGGGCACGAAGAATGTATTTGCGTTTGGGGTAAGAGGTGTATGTTTGTTATCAATTATCATCTCTCTCGGAAACGGCTAGGCCGATTTTGAAATGAGGTTTTCTTTATGTAAGTCTTATTCTTAAAGACATTCTTAGTTAAGTTTTATAATGTTACATTACCGCCAGACCCAACACCCGCTACAGTATAGGTTATACATGTTTCTCCAAAAGGGATATTTTTTTACTACTCAAGTAAAAATGGGGCAGTTTAATATTTAAATAAATTAATTGCATTACATTTACATTGAAAACTGAACGGTTCCCGTCGGATAGATCTGTTTGTGTTTTTCTAGAGGCAAACCCGAGCGAAGCGAGGGTGAGCCGCTACTCGCTAATTAACAATAAAGTCACTGGCACATGCTTACTACTTAATATGTACAACCTACGGACAGCGAAATGTCGTAGGTTTTTAAATTTTTTGAAGTTATACATACCTCTTTTGGCATGTTTGAAAAAAATTATAAAAGTAATTTTTTTACGGTGCGCGCGCACACCGACAGCCAAAAAGCGACATGATGAAGTTTAGCTGCATTCCTTTTACAAACAGAGGGTTGTAACATACGGGATGAAATCTTAAGCTACTTTTGTTCTGTTGCGCCAAAGAAGTATAACTTCTTACGTGCGTACATATGCACACACACTTTTTGTAACAAGCGGAGCAAGAAAATAAAAACTTAATGATCGGAAACAGACGTATGTAGGTATCTTTGAGTCTCACCTGCATGTGTGTGTGAAGATAAAAATGTATAGTATTAATAATTATCGACGCATTAGTTTCTACTCGATCCAGTTGAGCAGTCATTAATGGCATAGACTATAGGTAAATATGCTAATGAGAAGAAATCGTAAGACAAAAGGAGATCAAGTTATTGAATTATCAGAGCCATTAAATGCACGCGATCGGCGAGGATACTCAGCTAGTTAGCGCACCGTGATTTCTTCTATTTCGATCAGTCTGAACCGCACTGTTTGTCCTATCTCACGAGCTTGCTTCATGAAGAATGAAGCTGTTGGTGGGTCTTAACAAGTAAAACTTTGTTTTTCATGCAACTTTAGAGAAATAAAATGTAAGAATTTGAACAATACTACAGTACACTAGTTAGTACGGTGTACTTAAGCAACGTTGATACATTTGTGAAATTAAGTCTTTTTCCAGCACTTTATTCTACATTTTTCGAATAAATTATTTATATCACCACTATCCGTCGACATGCACTTACTTTCTTTTTGTATCTGCATGGTAATGAAAAAAAATGTCTTGCTATTTCTCGTTAGATGCGTACGACATCTTGATCAGTCCCTGCGCTAACAATGACGCTACACTCGACAATGACGATATAATGACCGAGCACAGAACAGGTTACATATGTGTATATAGATCAGCGTGAGAGAATTTCTTAGTGTTTAAGTTTTTGTGCAGCTCCGAGACGCTCAACGGGTTCAGCACATGACACTCGGCGCTCGGAGAGAGGTCGATATGAATACGCTCATAATGTCACAATAAACACAATTTCATTAAATAGTCTAAAGAAAATTTAAACTTAATGATTTTCCTGTAAATCATTGATATAAAAATAAACAACGGTCCGCTGGGAATTTATTGAAGATGGAAAATTAACGAGTACGCGTAAATAACATGAAGTAACCGGTGACCAGCGCGCCGCAAAAACTTGCAAATATGAAATATCGGTGCAACGAAAACTCGGGCCGTCCACATCAGCGCCACACTGACATTTAATTGTTATTTTGTTGTGTGTATACATGAAGTGTAACTAACATCAATTATCTCGGGCGTTGCGCTGAGAACGAGAGAATATCGAATCATGATTCGATACTCAATACTGCCTCAGCAACTTCACTTGTGTTCCCCAATAGATTGAGGGGTAGCTTTAGAAGTAGAAAATATTTAAACGTGTAAGATATCGCGGACGAAGAATGGATAGAGATTTAGTTAATATTGCAAATAGCGCTAGGCAGCAGAGAGCAAGGGGCGTGACAACGTTGCACAATGTCCACAGCTCCCATATTGCTACTTGTCCATGCGTGATTCTTTTGCTATTTTTAACCGATTTCCAAAAAGAAGGAGGTTCTATGTTCGTATGTATGTATATTTTTGTGTATTTCTATCGATTACTTGAAGACGCCTAAACCGATTTGGAAAACTCTTTTTTTTTGTTTCAAAAACAAAAACATTTAAATTTTCGAAATCGTGAAAACATTTCAATTTTTTTTTATTTGTCATATGTATTTTAAAGATTACATTCCCGTAGTTTCATTGAAATCAGAAGGTTATTCTAGAAATTAAAAATAAAAAACCAAGAAAATATTAAAAACCGAGATTTTTGCAAATATCTCGAAAACTTTGAGGTTATTGTAAAAAGTGTTATTAATAAAAGTTGTAGATTTTTACTAGACCTACAACTTTTGTAAAAAATATAGTTCGATAGAGCGTCACAGTAAGCCGGAAAATGAAAAAATATATTTTTCAACGCTTTGCGTCCCCCCACTTCTCGGTAGCTGGGCATAGGGGGCATTTTACGAATTTCTATTCCTTATATACCTGCTAACATTTGTAAATCATAAAACTTCATGTTTTCAATATATATATTTTCTCTTAAAAATAAACGGATTCCGATTGGTCTACAATTGATATTCACACAACATATTTTCTATTCATGAAATCTGCTTTAAATAAATTTATTTATAATTATTCTAGGTGGCGTAGTAGATACTAATGTATTTTTGAAGGAAAACTTCTTTATACATATATTATATAATATAAATAATAATAATTATTATTTTTTAAATAAAAATGAATGTCTAAATGTGTTGGCTAAGCGCAAAACTCGTTAACGACTGGACCAATTCGACAATTATTATTATTTTTCAAATATTCGTCTAAGTCTGTGTGAGGAAGGTTCTTAATAGAAGAAATACACAATTAAAATTTTGAAACTTTGGCTTGACTCTGTACTGAATGTTGCTACTTCATAAAGTATCCGTAGTCGTGTGTAGTGTAATTTTCCGACGCTGGGCTCAGCCTAGCGCGGCGCACTTACACCGAAGTGTTGTCCATTGGCACCGCAGGGACGCGCTCGAGACACGTTCGACCACATTTCACTGCCTAATATAAATTGTTCACGTCAGTCACAACAACCGTCGCTCTATCCGCCCGCCGCCGGTCTCGAGCCGCGCTACGGCAACGGTACTCATCAATGGATTAAGTGATACTAAACGTAATATAACTTTCTTCGTGATGTGGCTTTCACCGCAACGCAAAAGCTGCTATAAACCCGCCCAGTTTAAGGTCTAAATTGGGACTCGAAACGTATTTGACGAACAACATGCGTTGAATTACGAGTGCCACGCGCTTCCGTCCTTGAAAGTGTCTGCTGAGTGATTTCAATATTTACTACTCATATAAATCCACATTTTGAACAATCTTTATAGAAGACACGTACGATACTATAATAATGCTAAGATATCCGCCCGACTCTAATAAAAATAAACTTAATTCTTTATTTACATAATTTTATAGAAACAAGTGACAATGAATTCCCTGCACTCGTAAAAAATGTATTATTGCGGAGACAGTATCATCCTAATACGAGTATAATTAATGACAGGTTTACTCTAACACAATGATAACAGTAAAATACTAAAATTAATATATATAATATATATATATAATATATATATATATATATATATATATATATATATATATATATATATATATATATATATACAACATAAAACTACAAATAACATTTAAAAAATATATTAACACGAAAAAATATAGTTCAATCCAATACTCGAAGTTACAATTTCAACTGTTTCTATACGCCTCCAAGTAAAGCTGGGCTGATACTAATGCTTTTAAACCATTTTTTTTTAAATCAGATAAAGCTGTAGGCAGAACATAGTTTACACAAAAAACACTATGCCGATATACATCCATACTTTTTAATATTATAAATGTGAAAGTGTGTTTGTTTGTTTGTCTGTCCTTCTTTCATGTTGAAACGGAGTGACGTATAGGCGTATTTTTTTGTGTGGAGATAGTTGGAGAACCTGAGAATGACATAGGCTACTTACTATCGCGGGAGATTATCTTATTTCCACGGGAAAACGCATTATAATATAACCCAAAAACTATTTATGATCAGAATTACTTGAAACTTATTATGAATGCTCTTCAATACAATTAAATAAATACATATTTTAGCATTTTTCGAAATTATTTCCTTAAGAGGGTAAAATAGGGAATGAAAGTTTTTATGAAACATAGTTTTTAATTTTTTTGTTGCTTTAGCGCGAGCGAAGCCACGGGTTCTGCTAGTGTTATATATATTTTTGGAAATGTGCGGCACGGGAGGGCGCAACACTCGTGCCCCATGCGTAACATAATTTCACAGGAAATGCACTTGCCCACTTACTTTCTGCAACACAAATTATTATCCACAACCAATAATCAAGTAAGTGTTCTACCATAACTAAGTGTAAGTGTAGTTAACACTACTGGGGACGGAACTTACTATTCTGTGTCTACACACACACAGTGGGTAACATCTATACATAAAATAAATCCATACTAATATTATAAATGTGAAAGTGTGTTTGTTTGTTTGTCTTTCTTTCACGTAGAAACGGATTGGTGGATTGGCGTGATTATTTGTGTGGGAGGGCTGGAGAGTAACATAAGCTAATTTTTACCGCGGGAGATTTTTCTCTTTCCCACGGGAAAACACGTTAAAATACAATCCAAGAAAATATTTATGATCAGAATTACTTGAAACTTGGTATAAAAGTTCTTCAATACAATTAAATAAATACGTGTTTCAACATTTTTCGAAATTCATACCATAAGAGGGTAAAATAGTAGATGAAAGTTTGTATGAAACCTACCATTTTAGAGTTTTTTTTGTAGTTTTTGCGCGCGGGTTCTGCTAGTTATTAATAAATATCAGGACCAGTTTTTAAAAGCAAGCATAGACTAAAGAGAAGATTGCTAATTCTCACGTGCGACATTTTAGCAGAACCCAGAACCAGACAGTAATTCTAACTTCCTGTTCGGGACTTTTTTAGAGTAGACTAAGTTAATCTAAGTTAATTACTACGTACCTAACTTAAAAAAGGAGGGGAATGAGGGAGCCTGGAAATTCAGGTGTACATAAAAATGGGTCTTTAAAAGTAACGTAGATGTTATCCTGTTAGTGTGTTAGTTAATAAAACCAATATAATAAATAAAATATTAGCCAAGTTTATTTTCTTTTTTTTATTCCAAAGTCATAAACATTGTAAGTGAGTTGTAATATTCTATAACATAAAGCGAAAGAGTTTTTTTTGTAGTTTGCGCTACTAGTCCTATATATTTATGTGTTTGTCTCTTTTTAGTGTCGTATATTCATTTCATCGAATTTCAAATAACAACCACTCTAAAGAAGTTTCACTTCAATAAAAACAATTCAACGTCGATATAGTCATGTTTTAATTATGACTTAAGTTTTAGTGATATTGTCTCAGTGATACTACGAGTATACACAGTATAGTATACACGATACCTAATCAATACTTTCTGTTAACGGATATAAGTCAAGAAGCCCTATAATACCAATTTCATTGAAATGTCCAATATGGGGAGGCACATTTTCAGATGTTTTTAATATTGAATTATAAATTATTTTTGAGTACTTATTGCTGATTATGATAATAATTCTATAAAACATGGCCAGAGTGTTAGCCACGAGAGAGAGGACTGTGAATGCACATGTTTTGTGAGGAATATGTCTAAGGGGCGGAGTAGGAACCAGATTTCTATTTTTTTCCGAGCGCACATTTTCTTTTCGAATTATATAAAACGTTTGCGATTACTAGAAGGTGATGCCAAAGACTCACGGTGCTGCGTAAATCGTTCTGAGTTCTTATAAATTCCATTTGTTACGTTATAGTAATATTAACATTACTAATGAATAGGTATTATGGTTTGAGTAGTTTTATTAATTAACTCTAGAAAAACACTGATAGAGATCTATTAGTTCCCACGGGAACCGTTCATTTTTCCGGGATGAAAAGTAACCTGTTGTTTGACCGGCAGTATAAAGAATCAGAATGTTAAATTTTACTAAATTAGGTGCATAAGTTGTTGTGTACTAAGCTGTATAATTTACTATAGTTTTTTAACTATCCCACGGGAACTATTTAATTTTCCGGGATAAAAAGTATCTAAGATGTTGCTTGAAAATATAAGGTATCACCATGCAAAGTTTCATTTAAATCGGTCCAATAGATTCGGAGATTAGCCCGTACAAACAGACAGAGAAACAAAAAAATTGAAAAAATATGGATTTGTTCTATTTGTCTTCTTACATCCCCCTGACTCGGTTTTTAGCATTTTTTGCTATGTACAGACATTTGACCTCTACTGTTTTATTATAGTATAGACAAAAAAGAGGAGACAGAAACATAGAAGATAATAAACCGATTTTTTTTCTGAGAGCGTTTTTGTGTGACGTGTGCTGCTGTCTCGGTGCACTCACTTGGCGGATGTTATAAAAGTATAATTTCACGAAAGGCACGATTATAATAAATAATAATATTCATATGTTAATTATAGAAATTTAAATATAGAAAACTATTTTACATTTCGTATATAATTACTCATATAACACAATATATTTAAAATATTTAACAAAAAGGCTAATTAAAGATAAGAATTCTTGTTATAATTTCTATTAGACTTAAGTATTCATGTAAAGGAGCACGTCGCGCGCCGCCGCGCTGTTCTGGATAGTGGGCACGAATCTTGTCTGTCTAAAATTAGAGTTTAATTTTGCAAAAACTAATTCTAAATTATTTTGCAACATTTATGGTCTAGTTCTTAAAGCCCCAATAGTTCATATTGAACTTTCTCTCCGCTAATGGTCAGGGGGTGATCGAGATAAGATCGCCTGTCATAGTACACTCTCGGTCGGCCTCATGATCATTGTCGCAACTGATTTACAACTTTGGTTTTTTGAACATTTGATAGGTTTTAATTTCTAAGTTTCCAACAGTTTACAATTTTCAATTTCCTCTATTGAGTTCCGTCGATACAAACTTTATTAGAAACTAACTATCTGCGTCGGTTTCACTCGAGTGATTTTTACCTGACTGCGGCGAAGCCCGAAAGAGCGTTATGTTTTTGACGTGCATGTATGTATGTACGTAAATCAAGTGGCGTATCAAAATACAACTTTAGAAGAGGCGATTACAAAAATATACAACTTATATGTTTTAAAGTAGTTTAGGATAAGAAATCTATACTATGATAAAGCAATAACTTAGCGAGATCTGTACATGAAATATTTTTAAAAACAATGGCTGTAACGTATTCTGTACACGATATAGACCCCAAAAACAATAGTTATTAAAATTTTTGTCCGTTTGTCTGTATGTGTGTGCGCGTTTCACGCAAAAAGTAGAGTTAGTAGTGTGGTATTGCGAGTGTACCTTAGGAGATATAATACCTATACCTACCTTACCTTAGGAGATATAATACTATTGCAAGCTTTTCTATAGGCCTTTTCAAGACCTACAATTTTCTAGTACATTGTTTTGATATATCTCTTAAGGATTTGCCAGCCTTGGTCAAATAAATTTCTAAGGACGACTTAATAGAACCTTGTTAATTATGAAAAGTTTATATAAGATATTTTGTATAAATAATCTCAAAACCTTATTTTCTTAAAAAAAAACTAATATTCCGATAATTGTATTTTTTATGGAGATTTCTTTAAAAGCTGTTTTTTTATGGATTTTCAAAGCAGGGATAATTGTTAATGGGTAAACTTTTTAGTTCATGGTATTAAAAACCCAAAAAAACATTGAAATCCATTCATTATAACTAGGTTCCGTCATTAATCATTTATAATGACTAATAATTGAAATAATCGACTAAATATGAAAACGATTACATATTGATATTTTGTTATTCCCTTGCATCTTATTGAATTACTTCGTGTCGTCGAAATTGAATGTTACAAAACTTCAATTCCGAAAACAATAATAAGCTTTAACGCGCTCTCTTTACTTTAAGTTTCTTTTTAGAAATAAGTCTCATAATTAAGGTGTAATAAAGATAAGTACACATTCATTGCAGAATAACTTAGTGAAGTCGGCGGGCGCGGCGTTCAAGCGATGTGTAAACTTTTGATACGGTTTTGTAAGCATCTTTTAATATCGCGGCGAGGTTGAGGACGAGCCCGCGCCTTTACTTCAAACGCAGAAGCACACATGGCGGCCCACCGCCCACAGTGATAGCATTGCAATCTGCAGAGCTATCTATCTGTTAAGCAAATATCGTTAGATCTGCCGAAAAGCGTAGCCCTAATTGACATTGATTGATTTTTTATATTTCTTAATATTTCTCAAATATTTTTTATTCGAGTTTAGATTGACTCGAGTGGGACAGCGGTAGTGTCGAGACGTCTGGAACACGTAACCGCACCATTCCCTTGACACATTTGGCCGCGCGAGCTGTCGCCAAAAATCCTTTCACTCGCTGGAGTTCACTCGATTGAGTTAACTTTTACCCCAATTAAGTCACTTTCACTCTCTAGATATGACGCATTGCCGCAAGCCGAGAACAATAATGATTTTAATTGTTTTTTCTTTGCGGTTACGTCAACACTGAATCATCGCGATGTAGATAACTATAAGTGAGCTGAATAAAAGAAAAAGTTATGGCTCGTTCAAAATATCAGTCGTAAGAGTTACGAGCGCACGAGCTGTAACAGTAATGGCTTCTTTTGTATTGTTCACGTTTGATTCAACCGTTGAGTACTTGTCCCTACTCTTATCTAATTACTACTGCCTTAGTATTTGTTCGCATACGTAATTCACCTGTAGTAGTGAGATTATATGAGAGAATAGATAATGAATGTGTTACCCAGTAGTTGTCCTTGAAGGTCTGGTTGCCGGGCGAGCGCAGATGCATCATGTCCTCGAGCGTGGTCTGCCAGCGCTCCATGGCGGCGTGTGGGGCGTGCGGCGAGAGCTCATCACCGGCGTCGGCCTGAGAGCTGCTGCCCGCCTCGCTGAACGTCCTGTACACCACCATATGATTTTGATTTACATAAAATACATAATTAACCTATTAGAGATCAACTTGCTTTTGTACATAATACGTATGTAGCTCCAGAGAGAAATTAATATTGTAAGGTAGTAAGATAATTTTGCAAATATACCTACAGCCAAAACAAGTCATATGGGTATAAGTTAAAGTGCTTAGGCAACAACTCACTCTTGAGGAAATTACATTTATTGTAATATGATAATTAAAAAACTATTAAATTGATAGGAATAAATGACTAAATTCAAATGTATTTCTGACTGTCTTGGTCATTATGATTCATTTTCAATGCTTATACAGGAAGTATTCTACGCGTGAGTCTTTCTTACTCATTCAAAGTAATTTGATAATGTTCGCGAAAAATAGCATTTAATTACTTCATAATGATGAAAACAGGAAATGCTCATAATATCCACCTATTCAGAAATTATCAACGGCTTTAGTTTTCTACGTTGTTACGACAAGACTATAGTCGCACTCTGAGGCTTACCTACTTCGAGTTTTTTAGGTGTCGTAATATTATTTCTTTTATTCATACTTTACAATTAGTTGTCCGAAATTAATGCTTATAAAAACTGTTAAATTGACAATACAAATGGAGAGAGCACTCGCGCTTCATTTAATTGTGTTAATTTTTATAACAAGTGTCTAACTGGTTCCATCACGTCCTGCGTCACACGATACGCGACAGTAACATAATTTGATAAGTACTGCATCAGCGATCAGTACCTACTGACTATGCAGTGTGCACCGAGCGCAGATAGTGCCACCTCAAGAGTTTAAGCAAAAAGTAGGTTTGAAAAATGTGATGAATGAGAGGCCCACGATCACATGTACGATATATGGCGCAATCGCGGTCGCTTCATGTTTTGTTGATGAATTGATCCTAAACATAAAGTGAGGGCCGCAGAGATAGTGTCAGCTTTTAAATCTTAACATCTCAAAAACTAGTTTAGAAGATTGCTCAATTTATACTCATCTGATCGTGTGTTTTGACACTAATTTATACTATCAACGTTGTGTGCGTGAACAAGATTGCTCTATAACTAAAGTTAATTTCGAAACTAAATCAGGTTTTAATATTATACACAATACAGTACATATACACGGGGCATGTAAAAAAACTTAAAAACGTTAAAAATATTATTTCTTTTTAATTAATTCTTAGTTAAGTCTTAACGTGCCGACACTCGTCAGTCAATATGTTAGTGGCTGCTTAGTTATGTGATTGAAATGTTTTTATATTGTTTAACACGTGGTCGCCGGCTGACCTTGCCCGGTTTCCATACATCAATGTGACTTACGTTGCTAGTTGTGTCCTTAGTCATTATCAACATAATATTATTATACGAACATTATCACATTAAATGCTTACACAGAATAATATATGTTATTATATATTAATGAACTCAAATTTTGATGCTAGAGGTCTGAAAATTGATATAGGGACTCCTTGTTATAAATAATAAAATACAATGCCCCAAAAAAAGAAAGAGAAAATGAACATAATAAAAAAATATTGTCATAAGCAACTTACAAAAATAAGTGACATCCCACCAAAAATATTTTCATGTAAAATGTTGCCAAGGCCATATGGCTCGCACTGTCAAAAAGGTATCAGATCTCATGTAGAGCCAAGCTTCTAGCTCTACACGCCCTAACTCTACGAGCTCTAACTTCACAAACTTTACACCTTCTTTTTTTTCTTCAACGGCTAACAGTAGATACTTTGAGTTTGGAAATATTTTGTTTGATTTGACATGTACGTTAGAATTAAATTTTACAGCCTGATTTTTAGAGTTACTAATAAAAGAATTTTGGTTTGTCAGTCTTTATATCAAAAAATTGGCATCAAACTTTTTAGTCGGTTAAAAATTATTTCTTATCAACACAACTGCCTTGAAAATGAATATTAATTCTTCGGCACAAAAGTAAGTAATCATTAGACAGGCTATGGTTAGTGAAGTAGATATTTAGTTGAGAAACAACTGGACTTTCGATGTTGAGCGCCGCTCGCGGTCCGAGCGCCAGACGTCAAGCGGGAGCGCGGAACCGCGCGGACAACCAGCACTGCGAGATTTGATATCAATGCTCTACATATTTATAGCCCTTTAAATGGGCTGCCGACAACTATCATGGAAACTGAAAGCTATAAATAAGAACTCAATGTTGATTCGATTGGTTTCATATAAGAAATCTGCAATTATTATTATTTATATACATATTTTGTACAGATAATAACATGACGTGGATTTGCTTGACTTTATAATTTAATTATTATGAGTTTATTATTTTATGCAGTCGTAGTGCCGTGCGCACAGGGTAGTGTTTTAGGGCCCGGCCGTCGGTATTGTTAGTTCTGCTGTTCCGTGGATTGTTTGTTCAAATATTTATATAAAGTAGATATTGACATTTATCTCGGCTCCGATGTCGACACCAGGGCTTCTCCCGTCGCGAGCTCGCGTTGCCCGCTGGAGGAGTCGCGCTGCCGTTACATAACCGCCACGCTCGGCCGTTACCGCCGCCGCCCGCACCCGGCCCGCCGCCCGATCGCCTCACGGCCCACGTATACCTACTTGCCGAATGGACGTTGCGATACGTTACTTTTAAAGTTGTGCCACGCATTTTTATATTAACGATTATTTGTATTGACATTAAAGCGATTATTTTTATATCATTTAAGATATGGCTTGGTCCAAGAAACAATATCAATTGACAATTATATTTCTCTTAAGGAAACAGAACAGTTACTTATATTATCTTGATGAACAAAGTGGGTTTTCCTCGAGAAAGCAACGATCTAACTAGAATTAGAGCGCAGGACAGCCAGCGACAAAGAAATATTAGCGCTTAAAAGAAACATTTAAAAGTAAATTGGAAAATATATAAAAACAAAAATTTTAACTCTCGCTTTTTGCCATGACAAAGGCTTGTTAAACGTGAAAATATATGCCATGAGATACATAGGTACCTATAGAGTGCACTACATATTATGTTAATTCATATTTATTAAGTAATTTTTAACTTTACCTAATTCAAATAATAACACCCAAGTATTCTATATATAACTAGCGGCCCGTCCCGGCTTCGCACGGTCATTAAACATTACATTTAGATTTGTTAATTTTAACACATTCATAATAATAATAATAATATGACACATATTCATCCCTTTTTGCGTCGAGCTCCTAAAAAAGAGTAAATAAAAAAAAATAAGAATAATTAAATTCAGATATTATTTAATGATTTTTTTGTATTTATGTGTTTTTTTTTGTATATTTTTGGGGTTTTTTTTCTTTTTTTTGATATATTTTTTTAATTTTTTGTTTTTTTTTTTCAATTATTGAGGTCATAACCCTAAAAGAAAATACATTTATTTTGTTAGAGCTTCTCTGTAAACAATATTTGATGTTGTTTTATTTTGTGGCAGCAAAATAAATTGATTTTCAGGGGCTCCGACTCGCGATAGACCAACATACAGTTGACCATGAGTAAAACATTTCTTTCGCAGATCGATCCCTACTAATTCGAAGGTTTGGCCTTGGGACTTGTTAATTGTTAATGCGAAAGATGTTTTTACCGGAAATTGAAGCCGTTTAAATGGGATTGGCAGATCAGTTGGGATCATCGGTATCCTCGGTATATGAGCTAGTTGACCACCTGCTGGGCCAGTGATAATAGTTGCTACTATTAAATTGTCCTTTAACTCCTTAATAAGCAGCCTCGTCCCATTACACATGCTCGGAGGGTTTAAATTTCTTAAAAGCATGATTGGGATTCCGATTTTTAACGTCAATTCATGGGGTGGCAGTCCAGAAGGGTTCAACGAATTTAAAAATTCCTGTGGATAATGGACTGCATCTTCAATATTCGTTACAGTGTCGATCGATTTGTATGTTTTTGTTTGGCCGGGGACTTTTTGAACAATCAGATTGTTTATTTCATTGACAGTATCATTCTTAGGTGATACTATAGCCCGAGAACACAGCCAATGGAAGTCTCTTTCGTGCAAATTCTCGATATCAGGGTATACAGAATCTATTAAATTTTCCAAATTATGGAGTATTTGGCCTAGAGACTCATCCAGAAGAATGTCACAATGACCGCTTAAATTTGGAGTTGGAAAAATTCCTTCCCCAAGTTTTAGCAGTTGCTGTGGGAAATCGCTATCAGTGATTCCATGAAGATGAGCTCTCATATTTGTCCTTAATTTTAATGTTTCAATCGTAGTCCATAAGGGAGACGATTTCAAGCATGCCTTGATGATATCTGCTCGCGTGCCTCTGTTAATAACGGGGAGAGTCTGTCGAAAATCTCCAGCAAATACAAAAGTAATCCCGCCCATGACTGCAGAGGAGTTCCTTAGATCCTGTAAGGTTCTGTTCACGGCCTCTATATGTGCTCTATGGCTCATCGTGCATTCGTCCCACATAATCAATGAGGCGTCTTGTAGTAATTTACCAATAGGTCCATTTTTGCGGATGGAACATGTAGATTGTTGTTCAAGATTGACGGATAGTGGAAGTTTAAAAGTAGAATGAGCAGTTTTGCCATCCTTCAAGAGAGTTGCAGCAATTCCTGAGGAAGCAACTGCTATTGCTATCTTCCCTGATTGTCTTATCTTAGCAAGTATCAAATTTGCAAGAAACGTCTTTCCCGTTCCACCAGGTGCATCCAAAAAGAAAACTTTTCTTTTGTCATGAATGACGCTATCGACTATAGTTTCAAAAGCATGTCTTTGATCTGGGACTAACTTTGGCAGGTTTTCATTGACAAAAGCGGTCAAATTATTTGTATCATAGCGATGAGTCATAGTCTCTGCTGCATTGCTTTCTGTACGAACTGATGATGGTAATCCGAAATCACTTAGGCTTTTGTCATTTAATTGCAACAGTTTATTTTCTATTTGTATCAAACCTTCGTTATAAATGTCCTCATTGTATGGTAAGGTGATGTCTTGATTTTGCTGTCTGATTCTGTGTCTAATATCTTCACATAAATCGTCTTTGAAAATGTTCCATAATTTTAATGGTTCCGATGGCTGACAAAATAAAAGTATGACCACAAACAATTCTCTCAATTGTAATGGACATTGAGAAAGCGAAGCTTCTCTGAGAGTATTTTCCCAATGGTCATCGTTTTCTAGCAAACCTCTAGCACGGCAAGCAGCTTGATACGTTTCTTTCAGAACTCCGTCAACGGTTTTCAAGTACTGGAATGAAGTTGGACCGCGTACGTGGTGCAGCAACATCCTAAGATAGAAACACTCGGATTGAGAAGGATGGACACCGTAGACTCTACCTAAAGCGGAATCTTTTTTTATGCCTGGATAGCCAACTACATTCTCACCACGCTTCCTTCTGGTGAACTTATTATTGGCCCATGTGTAGTATTGCGGGACTTCGTGGTAAAGAAGTGTTTTTGCGAATTCATCATCATTACAGAGCTCAAAAAAAGCCAGCAATGTTGTTTTACGTGGATTTTGGGCCACTTGTACAGCCGTTTCTGTGGTAAAATACACCCTTTGGCCATTTTCTAAGTGGACAGCTAACTGCAAAACTGTAGGATGCCGCTCATGGATCGGGAATTCGAATATTCGCCAAGCAGCTTCGGAAGTACTTATGTAACGGCCATTTACGTAGTTTTCCACTTCATCATTTGGGTTTCTGACGCCAAATGTAGCTTGGTCCGATCCTTTATTTATGTATTTACAAATGTATTTGATGGCTTGAACTGAGTGACAGTACTCTACATTTATGTGAGCATTAAACGTCCTGCACAAAAGTGGAGAATATGGGACAATCCAACTATTATCTATAGTGAAATTTCTGCCTCTGATATTTAGCGAAGCGCTCAGTCCTCCATTTGCGGCATCACGACGACGATAAACTGGATATCCGTCCTCTCCAGTCTGAGTTTCGTTGACTAAACGTCGTGGGTATTTTTTTGTGCAAATACCGTTTTTCATACATGGTGCTGATAAGTTATGTTCTCCGCATGGTCCGTGCACCATATTTTTTGTTACGATATCGTACAATATCGGATCGTTTTGTTGGTTGGGCAGTTCCGCAACTATGACGCTATCAATTTCGTCTGGTTGGATTTTTGTTTCTAGCCAAAACAGCAAATGACAGTGTGGTAAACCTCGCTTCTGCCATTCTACACTTGCCATGTAACATTTCACTTTGCCGAATATTTCATTTTTAACGAATAAATTTAAGAATTTCTTCATTTTCAAATGAAACACCCTTGAAATGATGTCATGACGATCGAAAGATCGCTGATCAGGTAGTAGTTCCGCTTTAATTTCAGGCCATTCGGGGTTGCACGTAAATGTGACAAATAAGTCTGGTCTCCCGTAATTTCGGACATAAGTCATCGCGTCTTGGGTTTTTTCATGCAGGTAACGCGGAGAACCTGTAAATGAAGATGGCAAGATTACGCGTTGACCGATATTTGATGGGTCAACATTTCCGTCTTGATTTAAAGCATCTCTGAGATGAATGTATTCTTCAGCCCTTAGTCTCTGTTGGTTACGACATATGTAATTCAATCGTTCCGATATCATTTTTGCCATCATATCGACAATATATTGACTAAATAAGTCCCTGTAATAATGTAATGCATTAAAACTGTTAGCTCTAACCATCAACCTAAATGCATAAAATTGCATGCACGTCACAGTTTTGTTACGCGCTGTACCTTCCTGCGGAATGGTTAAATAATAACCGTCTTCTCCTTTCACGAACATTAAGGGATACTGTAGTGGATCATACGATCGGTGTAACTCAGAGACCCTTTTAAGTTGGCCGTCTCTTCCGTGGAGCACTATATCTCTGGGGCCTTTTTCTTCGTCAACCAAGAGAACGGCTACCTCGTTTACAGCTGGAGCATTGTATCTACCCGGGTGTGCTGTCTGTGGTGGGCGGTCGGAATGAATGATTAATTTTAAATTATCCGAAGAATTGCGTTCTATGTTTTGTTTAAAGCTTCGTATATATACATTGTGGCTATTCAGTGCGGTCTGTAGTTCGTTAATTAAATCTATTTTCAGCGTTGGAGCTATGTTTGACCTCAATGATAGCTGATCTGCGTCTGAAATGAAATATACCTGCAAGTATTGTGGATTTTGGCCTGGTGCTGGTAAAAGGCTACCAATAAGATGATATACCTGTCCCTCTATTTTAAAAGTTGGCATAAAATTACCCTCTCTTATTTCTTTGGCGCCAAACGAAGTCATTTGAAATAGGCTATTGTACTTACGGATGTTGGTTATGAAATGTCTAGATAGCGAATGATTATTTGTCAAAAGATTTTTTATTGGCTGTGGTGGTTCCTGAATACTGGGGAGACTAACTTTTCCAGAAGCACAGCACATGCCATTAGTTTCATCGACCCATTTTTTGGCTGAACACTTAGGGCAGATCTTATTCATGTCGCCGATTTGGACGGAAGACTGTTGAGCATAATCAATCTGTGGATCGTATCTAAAAGCCGATCTTTTACTGTGGGCTAAAACTTGATTGCGACTTCTCGCTCTTGACGTCTGTTGTCGTTCTCTCTGATCTTGAAGGCGTTGGAAACGCTCAGAGCTTGATTCCCTAGTGCGAGATTGAATATTTCTG